TCCGGAATTCGCGGTTTAATTATTACTACTAACTTAATAAAAAGGTAATCTACGGATTTTCAGTTAATTCGCACGCGCGCGCATTTGTGTCAAAAGGACCGCACGTGAGTTAATTAAATCGGGGAGACTAAAGCCGAGAAGTATCGGTTCATCGCGCGGCCGTGCGCGCTATGAAAACGTTGCACGCGGAAATTGCACATGGCCAATTGCGCAAAGCATAGGTATCGATTTCCGTAAATTAGAGACGTACGTAACGTAAACCTTTTACGGGCGCCGGACGATGAGGCCGGTGCTCTCGATTTCGTTAATGCCTTCGTCCGGAATGGCGAAACCTTCGTCGTAATTGCGAGGCAAAATGATTTTCGATTGCCCCCGCCAATTCTGTCCGGCCATTAATTACCGCGCGATGTTGTTTCCAACCCTCTGTACACTCCCGTAGGAGTGTTCAATTAGACGGCGAGACATCATTAACGCGAGGTGTTAAAAGGTACATATCGTTCGGACCTCGTGATTTCCAGTAGCGTTCCTTTATATATGAAACCATATATAACAAATGTATATATATTCGTATTTCAAAGAAAGTAAAAGAAAAGGGGATGACGAATATGATGACAGACCCAATAAACATCGAGATTGTAGAGTATAGCGATTGAATTCACTAGATTAGATTTATCGATGTACATATACGTAGACCAGTCAAATTCGATTGGTATATTAACCGAGCAAAGTGAAATTGTGGGCTTTATTGAGAAAAACCACCGTTTTTTACGCCTTGATTTGTATCGGTTATTGACTTGTGTATATTTCCTAATAGAAGGCTTTATAGCGCAGATAAAGAGATGATTAAATCGACATCATATTATAGGGACATGGCTGTAATTGTGCAATGTAAATGAGGGTTCCAGATTCATATAAGCTTAACGAAATTTATCTCGCGAATTTAATTGATAATTTAACGGATATATATGCAGACGTCATATTAAATTATTGCGCTATAAATATGGCAGTGGTATCGACGTCGGTAATTGAATTACGACTTATCGATTCTCCGAGAGTCAACGGAATTTCCTAACCGTGTCTGTCTGACTTGAACGGAACGTTTCTATTTGCGGTGCAATCGATCGGATGATTTGAATATAGCGTTGGTCAAACAAGCTGAATGTTCCCTCGGGAATTGAGCAGCAAAGCGTGTCTATCGTTATCAAGATGGGGAAATTCATTTAGAAACCGATCGCAAGAATGTGGGAAAATAGAACGCAACGGAAGATAGTTCGCATTACTATCAAAGTTAGAATTAGTTGTTGAAACCCACTTTCCGCCAACTATTTTACGCTAATGCACCAAGATTAATTCTATACATGCAATCAATATTCAAAACAATTATATTTTATTCTAAATTTATACACAAGCATTTATTGTTACATTTATGTAATAATATATACTATTATACATTTATATCACAAAGTATTGATCTTCCAATTAGCTTACTTTAATACTTTTATACGCATAATAATGAGTAGAATCTATATATATGCTAAAAAAGTGTATTCCATTTAAAGCAAAGTGCAGTTGCGTCAAGTGCATCGGTGCAAAAATGTACTCTCTAAATTTGAATCAGTTAATAGTCACTGATTCGCAGTATTATTCACTGATTCAGGTTTAGAAAGTAATCAGTGGCAGAATAAATTATATAATGAAAATATGCTCTACCACTTTTCTCTATCTTGATTTAAAAAAGAGCTAATCCAGGTCAGTTACTAAAATCACTCTAAGATGCCTCAATCTTGTAATCTTTTAATCGCACATTCTTGAACAAACGCGAAGAAAAGAAACGAAAATATCGAGACGGTCTGGAACAATCCCTGAAGGCAATATCTCTCCCTGTCTGAGCGTCGCCCTGTCTGAATCTCCAAACACTTGAACGAAGAAGGAGGAAAAGAGAGAGGGGAGAAAAGGAGGAAGGATTGTTCTCGCATGAGCGATTTTCTATTTTACATTTCACTCGACCGAGTCCGTCCGAAGAAACGCCACGCGACGTTGGGCGCCGTTGTAGTTGTAACTTCGCGAAACAACAAAATTGCTCGGTCCGCCCATCTTCCGGGACCCTCCTGCGCCCCCCCCTCCCAGAACGACTACCCTCATACTCGATCGCGCGCCGCGACCGAGGAAAGTTCTTCAAGTTGCTCGCACCACCTTGGCGCGCTTTTCCAGCTGCAAATCCGATCCCGTGGGTAGTGCGGTGAAGTTTTCGAGGTTAGCCCCCCTCACCCCTGCTCACCCTCTTCGACCTCCACCCCGACCCCCTCTCGCGCTCCCGTCTTCACGTTTCGCCGCGAAACGTAGCGGCGGTCGTGCCAGGAGAAAATTATTTATAAACGTCAAAACAGCGGGGCCCCCCGCCCCCATTTGCGAGAAGTTGTTGCGGCGTGAAGGGAATTCACTCGCCGCAACTCTCTCCGCCACGCGGACATCTTTCGCGGAATTTCCGCACGAGACTTGCACGCGGGCGAGGGCGTCCTCCCTCACTCCGCCCGTTCGGCGAACATGATTAGTCGCCTCACCGACGTGAGACGGTAATTTACGAGCACGAAAACCGGCGGGATACGACAAGAAAGAAAGTCCGGGGCACCGGAAACAGTGATTGCCGCGGAATATTGAAACTGCACGGAGCAATTCGGTATGATTGCCGTTGCAGACGGTCCTCGAATTTATATTGGACGCGTCCACCACGTAAATGTATATTCGTAATTTTACGTCCTCCGTGTTACAAGTGGCAAATAAACGCAAAATTTATATACCGTGTAAACCAAATTACGCTCGCTTAGGAGCGTGAAACGGGAAGGCATGAAGAATAACGAACTCGGGAAAAATTCTCGTTCTCCATTATTCACGAGGGAATAGGCATGTCACACGCCGCCGTGTCATAAATTCAGTTATTTTTACAAACTGTAAACAATAAATTTTATTTAATATAATTTTGAAAGATAATAAAGATAACGCGAAATCTGTGCCGCCGAGAATAAAATATAACGCAGCTTCTGTGCCTCGTGCATTCCCCTCCTCTTCTTCCTTTATCCACCCCGTTGCAGTTTATTTATATTGCAAACATAAACGCGCGAGACAAATACAAAATTTGTTGCGTCGTTGCGTCGCGCGACGGACGTTGCGGCCGTTTTATCTGCGATAAAAACAGTATCGGAGGAGTATCATTCTATCTGTCACACGTACGAACGCGCCCAGCATTATGTCGTAAGTCTCTCAACACACGGAGCGGGATCATACACAGAAATTACACATATATTTCTTCGCGGCCCGTAAAACCCACCCTAAATCATAAACTCGCCGCGACGTCTACGGAGGTACTTTGTTCGATAGATCGTATAACGAGTACATCGCGAACACGCGCCTCCACAAAGTTGTGCAACGCTGCTCCGCAAAACGGTACAGCATCCGGGATCTGGGAAATTTTACAAGTGCGTTATTCGACCCGAAATTAGCATAATTATTTGTCACGCGCTTTTCCTCTGTTCCTCTCTTAAATAAACTATTATGAATGTATTTAAATTGGAAACTTATATGCAAAGGATTGCAAGCATTATTAGTTTTTTTTTTAAAGCTTTTAATCTACTTAAATTATTACATTTTTAGAATGTTAATTAATTCAGAAAATGACGTGTGTTAAGAATCGAGTTGCCGAAGAAGAAACGATTTAATTTTGGTTATCAAATGTTTTTGATGTACGTTTCTCTTCGCATTCGAGTCGACCAAATGATATAATTAATGATTCTCTAATATTGCGATTTTATCGTATATAACAATTAAATCTTAATTTTAAATACTGATGCAGTCTAATCTAAAGTAATCTAATCAGCCGACCGTAGGACGGGGTAGATCCGGTTACCCTTTCGCTTAATTCAACCCTGGCGCGAGACCTCTTACGTAAAGTAGATTTATGACGGCTCGACTAGGCTATAAATACATTTTCCGTTATAGACCATGAACAGGTGTTTCGCGAATCATAACCGTGCGTCGCCCCGTAAATCCGCGAACGCTCGCGCGTACATTTTCGCGCGGCCGTAACACGCCCGCGCGCGCGCGAGCTCGCCTATGTTCCTTTGTCCCCGTAAATCATAAATTTATGTTCTCGTCGACTGCAAACATATTGCATTTCGCCGCCCGAGAATGGACGTCCCGTAAATTGCCGCGCTTCTACACGCGACCGCGCGCACATTCGGCATTCTATCCCACTTAACTCCATCACGCCGAGGAAATCTTCCTCCAAATGTAGCTAATTAATCGTGTTTCACATAAGAGCCGTTGCACAAACAGTCTCGATTAATACGATATCAATAAAAACTCCTTTCTGATTTCTGATTTTAATTATGAAAGGCTTTTAATTTAGAAATTTATTTTTTTTTATTTTGGAAATAAAGTATCACAATTAGATTGGACTATTTAGACGCGCGATAGTAAAAAATTAGTTGACCGTAATATTCTTCCAGAGCGTGTGAATGACACTAATTATCGAGTTATTCCTTACATAAACAGCAAATTTTTTTTATCTTCTAAGGATACGACAGTTTTTCCTAATACGTTGCGTCGTAGCCATTAGCGTAACAAAGCTTCCATAAACAAAAAACGTCGCAACACTTTGGCATTTTAAAAGTCCTTGGTTATTATCTATCATCAGACTCGTATAATTAGTTTGTCCGTATAGAGTAGCGCTATTCATTCTCCGCTAATTATTGCAATTATTACAATTATTACAATTATTACAGAAATGGTAATTATTGCAATTGCAGATAAAACAGAACCTTCCAAGAGTGAGAAGCGTAAAACAGACATATAAGAAGCGTTAAAACAGGCTGTAAAATTTACTTATTTATCTGTCTTAACGTAGTTGTTTCGTAAAATTCTATTAGTCGTACAATTTTCATACAGTGTTAGTTAGGCCATAAGTGAAAAAACAATATATATATATATATATATATATATATATATATATATATAAGATCTTGCTTTTGCAACGTGTGGATTATTTCGCGTTTTGAATTTTGTTCCGCATGTATATATGATATACAACATTTTTGATAATTCTGTCCAACTAGAAGCGCTGCAATTTATAAAATACAGTAAGTCAACTTTTTATATTTATACGCCTATTATAATTTTATTGTTACAATTTTTCTATTTATTTTAGATATAGAGCTAAATATTCGAACTTTTAAAAAATGATGTATTAAACTATGGTGATATATTTAAAGCACTTCGAAATAAAACACTTTTTCGAGAATTATTTCTCACGGAAAAACAATAATTTTATAGAATTTTCAACATCTTGCTACCTTAAAACGAGGGCTTTGAGATGTTCACATACACACACATGCATACACATACACATACTTTTCTTCATAAAATTGACTAAAATATTGGACAGTATTTAAAAAACATTCTATAAGAATTTGTCTTCAAAATCAAAATTTATATTCAAATTTTAAAATTGAAAGAACGTATAAATACTCGCAGCGCGTGTCGCTTTATCAATTATTAAAATATAATTTGTGCTCTGTCAAAATAAGCAATAAATTCTTTAATATTTTCAGGAAGTTTATATTGAAGATTTCATTCTAATACACGTTTTAACATGACACAATTTACGTTTGACGAAATAAAAATCTTTGAAGATACAAAGAATGATATGGACATCATAAAAACAATAACTAGCACAGAATGCCAAGAAAACGCTTTTTATATCGCGGACATTGGTAATGTCATACAGAGACATCAGGAATGGATCGCCAAGTTACCCAGAGTTATCCCACACTTTGGTATCAAGATTCTTTATTTTTATATTCTCAATAATGCACACTCTCTCTTATTACAACATGGATTTTTAATACTATCCAATTTTATTTTCATCCCTAGCAATTAAAGTTAACCCGGATCCAACGGTGATTAAAGTTCTGGCAGCTTTAAATGCATGTTTCGATTGCGCATCTAAAGTAAATTTTCAAATCTTTCTTTAATCACTTAACAAAAATATTTAAAAATAATTGTGCTCTCTCTCCTCAACAGAAAGAAATAGAACAAGTAATGCAACACGGAGTACACGGCGACCGAATTATTTTCGCGCACCCTACTAAGCATCCGTCTCATATAGAATATGCTAAGAGAATGAACGTCAAGCAAATGACGGTTGATAGTGAAAACGAGCTGTACAAGATCAAGTATATCTTCCCTGAAGCTAAGTGAGTAGAGCAATACAATGGGATATATATTGGCAACCTGATTTCATCAATTTACAAATTTACCGAATGTCTCCGTGCGACAGGGTAGTCATACGTATACGTTGCGACTCAAAAGACACGCCAGTGTCATTGGGGCACAAATTCGGTTCCGAACCGGACGAAGAAACCGTGCGCTTGATACAGCTCACGAAAGATCTCGGTTTGAATTTACACGGCTTTAGCTTCCATGTCGGTAGCCCGTGCGAGGAGCTCGAGGCTTACGCCAGAGGGATCGCGTTGTGCAAACAATTAGTTA